CCTAGAAAGCTGAGATCACTGAGGATCATGGGAAACTTTTAATATCAAACGAGTAAATCTTTTGATACGATTTGCAGCTTGAGGATGCTCAGACGAGGTGAGACTGTAACTGGTAAAAGATCTTAAATCCATCAACAGTTATTAAAGCGGTTGAAACATGTAAAATGTAACTACCCATAATCCTTGCAGGTCTCAGCTTTGTAGCTTTTCAGGCGACTAACTTTATTGAAATAAGGGTATACTACCACAACCAGAATAATCCCTTACTCACTTTCTTTTGTTCTGTTAGCACCATTTTCTTTTTTTTTTTTTTTTACTATTTTCATGAGGAAATACAAATTTGAATAACAAAGCAGAATTGCAAAGGGTACCTTTGTCTTCTTTTTTTTTTTTTTTTTTTTGTTTTTTTTTTCTTTTAATTTTAATTTTTTATTTCACCTTTCATCTCAATTTATTTTCCACATTTTCTGTTAACACAGGAAACCATGTTTGATTGACATACAGAAACACTATATAACCAACTTCTTTAAAGTCCCCTTGACTCAGCTGCCCAACACTCGTACAGTATTGAAACAAGCTGGTCATTCAATATCAACACTTTACCAACCACGCATGAGTCATAAAATTGCCGTTGTTCTCAAATAACATTTAACGTACTCTCACAAAATATGTATATTATAAAATCATTTAAAACTTAGTATCGCGATTCACTAAACAGCTAGTTTCATATATTTTTTGAGACGACAATATTTCGTGGTATTGTCGTTTCAAAATTAAGGTTTCTGATTGAACGAAAAGGAAAGCTTGAGCACGTGCACGTGCACGTCAAATTTTACGCTTGTTGCTTGCACTATTTCGCGCGCTCGTAAGGAGAATTTCGCTTTTAATCAACAAAAATCGGATATTTTTTTTCTTTTTTGTGTATAAAATTGTTTAGAATCGCAATACAAAACTAATAGATTGCTATCAATAGACGTCACTTCGGGTAATACATGTAGTTCTTTTTTGATGGCTTGTAGAATCCTGGAGGTGGTTTTGATCTCTTGTTTTCTGGTTTGATGTCGTGAAAATAGTCAAATACAATAGTTTGAGGACTTATTTTGATATGTTTTGACTAGTTGCCCCCCAGTCAACCGCTTGTTTGCCCCCCAGTCAACTCCAAAAAGTCACGTGATTGATAGTAAGCAATTTCTATTTTGAGAAGACAATACCATGAAATATTGACGGCGTTGGAAAAATATATATTCGGTATTGGGCTCCGTCGTTTCGCTCACTCGTGAGAGATCTTTTCGTATCTCCGCGCGCCCATGTAATATCCTCTACTTATTTATAACTCTTCTTATGATTAGTTTCTTTCTTTCTTTCTTTCTTTCTTTCTTTCTTTCTTTCTTTCTTTCTTTCTTTCTTTCTTTCTTTCT